TAGCATGTGCAGATAAATAGGCCATTGGATAGAGCGTGGCAAGGGTCGTCTATTAACAGACTACTTTTGGCATCTAGTAAGTCCCCCATTTTGGTCACTTCATTGGGTTAGGTACACATTAGCTTTCGTATGCTCAATTTTAAGTTTAGAAAGAAATGTATTCTGGATATTGTAGGCATTGAGTGCCATGTAATATTGTGCACTAAAGGTTGTTACGTGCAAACCTATCTTGAATGGTTAATGTGTGACCTTATGATGATTGTATGAGTTATGTGCCAAGGATGATGTACCATGTTGAACTTGAATTTTATTTATCATTATGACATATGAAATCCCTTGGCTATGTGTTATTTGATTTCAAACCCTAAAGCTTGCTTAGGTCTCATGGGCTTTGCCTGCTAGGCTCCTATGCTAGTCACGGATCCCAGGTTTGGGTCATGATAGATTCCGTGAATGAATATGGAAAGTGGACAAGTTAAGGGCTAGTGCTTTTGTACAATTACATGCATGTATGTAATTCAGATATTCAATCATTAAATCGTTGAAAATGGATGTAAACCAAACCTTTGGATGCATTTTTAAACCATTCAAATAGAACATTTAAACCTTTAAATCATAAGACATAGATATAAATCAAACCTTTGAATATTTTCTAAAGTTTTTTTGAAGTAAAATAAATCTTTGGAGTAAAGCTTGAGTGTAAAACCATTGAGAACACATCAAAAAATGGCTTAACTTACCACTTTAGAGATGGAATATCAGTGCTTTAGGGGAGGTATTGATAGTTTTTGGACAAAATACTTACCAACCTTCTTATTTAATAGGTATCGACACTTTCTTGTAAAGTATTAATACTTCATTCATGAAAACTAGAATTTGTGCACTTTCCAACTCATATCAATCATACTTGACCTTTTAAGCTCTAGATCTTTTACATCTCTTGACTTGTAAAACATTTGTAGAAATGTTAGTCCAACGAAAATATCCAAGAGGGGGATGAATTGGATTTAAAAAATTTGAAAAGTGTAAAACAATCAGGTATAATCAACTATAAAAATTCTCTAGTCGACTATGGTTGTAATTCTTTTCTCAAATCAACTCCAATGTCTTTTAAACAAAATTGTGGTCGATTGTAACTACTCAAGAATCAATCCTAGACTAGAAAACCCATTCCAAAAACTTATAAGAGGAATTTCAGCAAAAACATTGATGTAATGGCAAGTTTTAATCAAAGCTACTTAGTCAATCATAGATTAACAATTACTTTGAAATGCTTAAACATTTTTCAAATATAAATCAAATAAAGGCAATATTGAGAAGAACATTTCAAGAAATCTTTTCAACAAAGAATGGACAATTTGTGATGTTTGAAAAATGTTTTTGACAAAGACATAAACCAATTTTGTAATGAGTATGAAATCAAGGCATAAGCAATTTGTAACTGAGTTTTGCAATGTCAAGTGCAAGAATTTAAAGCAAAGATAAAAATGAAAATAAAGACACAAGGTTTTATAGTGGTTATGCTATCTCAAATTTTTAAATCCACTCCCTTAGTTTACCAAGGAATTTCTAATCCACTAAAAAGATTCTTGCTTTTAATGAGAAGTGATAACCCTTACAACGGCTTTTTCACTGGATCAAGCGATAACCCATGGTTTTCGCGGGTTCACCACAAATCCATGGTTTTAACAGGATCACCACAAACCCATACACAATCCACAAAGAGATTCTTGTTTTTTAATAGGAAGCAATAACTTTTACAAAATAGCTTTTCAAGGTTAAGCTTGAATCTTTACAAGAATAACTAGAGTGCCTCTAAAAGGTAGATTTTGCTAAGTAGGTACAATGGAGGAAGAATGCCTAACATTAGGTATAATGATAGGATATAAAGATGGGAGTGAAAGCACAAAGAAAGTTTAGCTTAAGTAGGCTTGGTTTTGTTTGGTTTTCTCTCATTTCTTTTCAAGACCATGATCTTTAAGAGTTTGTCATTTTTTCTTTCTTCTTCCTCAACTTATAATGCTTCCCATTAGTCTTTTTTATAGTTGAAAGAGTCTTGGAGCCATTATAGGTGATTAGAGCAAGAAACCAGCCATTTTCCTTTTAAATTTTGTGTCAACAGTCACTTGTAATCAAGTATGGAAGTTCTCTACTCGATCCTCTTCCAAAAAGCTTGTATATTTGAAATTTGGCTTGGTGTAGTCGACTACCACTCGCTCAAGGTTGACTATGGCTTCAGAAAAGCTTGGATTTCATGTGCTCACTTCCTTAGGGTTGACTTCTGACCTTATAGGGTTAACTAAGGCTGTATCTTTTCAAGTTTTCATGTTGCCTAGTGCATAAACTATAGCATTCTATCATTTTCTAACACAATTTTGACCCTAATCTAATCTAAATAGGGTAACGTGAAAAACATAAAAGTTATAGCTTTGTTTCTTAGATTTTCAATGGTTTAAGAATCACATCCATTGAACTTATTTAGTTAGAGTTATGCTCAAAATACCAAAGTATGTACAAGAGACGCACTTAGCCATACTTGTATGATTTATTACCATAGGATCAACTTGCCTTACTCTAAGAATGATTGGAGCTTTGTTTCTTCAAGATTCCTTGACATTTTGATACTTAACTTTAGCTACTTCCTTGCTTCTTCCTTGTGATCAAATGTTGAGTTAAAAGGGACTTCATGGCTTAAGAACAACCTTAATGTTGTGAAGATCAACCATCCTTAAATGTTTGAGATAAGCTTCGACACTTGTGAATCTATCTTGCAACTTCAGCATCTCAAAAATGACTACTAGAGGGATCATAAATAGAATCATTTAAGCAAATTTAATGCTCATAGCTTTAAATTCAGTTGTTTGGATAAGATTAAGTTGTTTTAATTTTAGTACTTAGTAAAAAGATTTAGGCAATTCTTTGTGAGAATGAACTTTACTTTCTATTGATTTACTTGTTAATGATACATGCACTTGCGTGGTGAATCCAACAATAGTTTTTGCCATGTCAGTGTCATGGGTCAACTAGTCATAGCTACTTCCCAACTGCTCATACAACCAGTCGAATCAAAGGGTGATTGTCGGTCTCATACCCAACAATCTCCCCTCTAGCAACAACTTTGGGATTCAAACCCAAAACCTCGCTCTGATACCAGTTTCCAAGATCAAGCACTTACTATTTCCACCAAAAGCTATAGTTATGGTAGAAGCGCAACTTAATTCCCTTAACACTAGCAATGCAAAGCCCAACGCTAAGTGACCAGTGAGGATAAGGGGCTGTGCAATGTTAGTACTGCGGGTTGGTTTGTCATAGCTACTTCCCCATCGCCCACACAACCGGTCGAATCAAATGGTGATTGTTAGTCCCATACCAAACATGCTTAATCTTTATCCTTCATAAATGAGTTTATGAAGCATGGAATGTGACTAAAGAAAGTTGTTTGTTTTACAAAAAAAACATCTTGTTTTCAATGAACTTGAATGAGAAAGCTATGATTATGTAAGAATGTATGTTTATGATAAATCTATGACTTATGTAAAAACTCTTCCCATTGTCTTGTCTCCTTTTTGTGTCTATTCATGAAGTCCTTATGACTCACCCACTAGTTTCTTTTATTTTATTTTACAGATCAGTAACTTTCTTGGCTTGGCACCTTGTGAAAGAGTAACATAGTTCATATTTGGTAAGAAATGATAGTGCCTTTCTTCTAGCCCTTCAATGTCACTGCACTTTGTAGTATGTCGAGTTGAGTCGTAAATATTGCCGTTAATGTTGATACTTTGAATTGTAAATAAGTATTGAGATGCTCATTTTTTTTCCTATCATGGACTATTGTGTTGAGCACCTTTCCAATGTATACAAATGATGAAACCTACAGTGAAAGAACCATAAATGATAATGACAAGAAAATTGTGCTGGACTACAAAAACTATATGTTATATAAATGTTGTTATTAAATGAATGAAATTCCACACTGTATAATGGGTAGTTCCATAATGTTGTGATGGTGTCAATGTGTATATGATTATATTCATATTGTATGATTATTGGTATAAATGGATGAATGACAAGCCCACACATGTTGATGAAAAGACTTGCTTGGGCATAATGAGCCATATTCATGTAAGTCCTAGTGCTGATTCTTTAGAAACGAGATGTGACAAGAGTGTTAAGATAATTATATAAAATATTTAGTTAAAGTTGTAATATAGTACTATTACCTAGTTAGACTACAATATCTAATTAAAAGTTATACCACAATACTATTAGTTAATTTGAGTTAGATTATAAATAAAATTAGCCTTATATATATTATACAATTTTATATAAATAAAATTCTTTCTTCATTTAAGATTAGACTTTTTATCTAATCTAGTTTCCTTTACCCATTAGAAAGAAATTAGTTAGTCACATCTTAGGTAATTGCATTCGTAAATTTTCTCAAGCCTTAGTTGCAACTTCTTTGCTATCTCCATGGTGCCCTACTCTTCCTTTTTTCTAGATTTTATAAAATTTTATCCTAATTTGATCCTATACATTATATAACTTTTACATAATTCCATAAAAAACCTCGAGTACACTCAAGGGAAGTAAGATGGAGAAAAAAATTTTATAAACTCAAAAGGAAAAAAAAAAAAAGAGAAAGAGAGGGCTCATAGTCCTTATTTCAAAAATACCATAAAAAATATAACTAACTATTCATTCATTGACATCCACCAAATCTAAATCCATAATCATCTACAACCACATCCATCCATAATCATATTATGAAATAAAAAAATATTTAATTCAAGTTGTTGATCTAATATGTTTGTTTAAACGAGTATTAATTATATCATGAAAACACTAATGTAAAATATTTGATGGAAAATTTTTTGATCTAGGTAAGTTACTAAAACCATTTTTAGTGAAGTTTTCAAATTTAACAGGTTCTAAAAACTACTTTAATAATGAATTTAACCCTCAGGTTTCTGCAGTTTAAATTGAAGTTGTTGAGGTCGTTAACACAAGCAGCAACATTCGCTGTATATACCTTTTGCCAAAGTGACATTGTACACTGCAATCGCTTGCTCGGGCAGTGACTCGACAAGTAGTCTCATTTACATGGCATCCATTTTTCATAAATGCAAACACCGTTGGAGCATGTTAGAATGAAGCTCAACTTGCAAAAATCACAGCATATAGAAAGGCAAGACCTGAGACTTGCGAACCTAGAAGCCTTGCGGTTGAACAATTAAAACAATTGAATCTCAACGACGGATAGTTACGAAAACGAAAAAGTTGTTTTAAAACTCGGTACTCCATGAAAATTAAGCACTACCTCCAGAGGTCCCCTAAGACTCGGCCACATCTTCCTATCTTAACGTTTATGGCAGAACTTCTTCAATCATTTTACCTCTATCAGCTGACACAGATCCGTCCACAGCTTTGTTAAGCCTTTTCAACCAAATATCATAATCAACTGGGTATGGTGTTCCACAAAGGCTATCCACATAATCAGCAAATGCCTTTAGTAAAGGTGAAACTTCACCTAGCTGCTGCTGAATCGACCGCGTTGCCCAGCTTTTCTCCCTCCATTGCAAAGCAGATTCGATAGAATCCTGTTGCTGCATTGTTCCCCCACAAACAAAGGAAAGGAGGTAGACAAGGCTCTCAGCATCGGATGCGGGACAGAGTTTCCCATGCTGAAGTGCATGAGAAGACGAGAACTGCAAATTTATTGCTGGGCTGTCCCTGTCTTCCAAAACTGCACGACCCCATGAAATTGGGATGTACAAAACTTTGTTTCTTATACCTTGCGTGTCCAAAACACGAATTATGTTTTCAGGGGAAATATCACCATGCTGGACATTGGCTGCTGCTGCACTACTTAGACCGGCTAGGCAGTCTCGGCAGCAGCGTAATGCATCATCAGACGAAAATGGGCCATCCTTAGCAACTATATACGAAAGTGGCTCCCCAACTGGATATGTGACAAGAACTGGGGTTCCGCACCAAGGATGATCACATCGTCCACTTGGACTCTGCTTTTTGCAAGGACCAGAATGCAGAAGTCGGCCAGAGGCAATTATATCAGGCAAATATTTGCTTGAAATTCCTTGCTGTTTCAATATGTTTAGTACCTTTGTTTGCCTTTGTACTTGATACCACAGACTCATATCCTCCCAGGAAGGTTCAAGTCTGGATGGATGAGCACCAGCATACAAAGTTAACAACTGTGTGGGATAATCTAGAGAAATAGCACCATAGAGAAAAGAGTTGCCTCCTATGAAGGACTCTTGTATCTGGAAACTTTTCTGGCCCTGCTGTTGATCCTCCAAAAACAATATCTCGCCCTGCTTAAGCTTCAGGCGTGATGAATTCTTTACCAGGGGATTATCACTATGATCAAGTTCAACAATCTCTCCATGTTGAAAGCCAGCCTGCTGGTAAGGTACTAGAGCATTTTCATTCTCAGCTAGGCGGCATTCTATTCTACGCTTCTGAAGACGAAGGCTATGATTTGAGGCCAATGAGGCTATTGACTTTCTTGGAGGTCCATTCCACTGGATTATGGAATAAAAAGTAGCTAAAAGTACTTGAAGAGTCCCCAGGTCCCTCCAATTTGCATTCCCAAGCTTATTCCATATTCTGTCCACTGATGAAACAAGGACTTCAGCATGACACTTTATCCATTGGACCACAGACTGGTATGGATCAGCTGTGTTCAACTCAAGTGTACTAAGATCACCTCCAAGTTTTACCACTGCACCAAATTTAGAATCAAAAATCATAAGAAAAACAGAATCACTCTCAATGGTTCTGGACTTGCTCAAACTCCTAGAAATGAGTATATGAACACCATAAAATAGGGCTTCGCATATACTGCTAGCAGACAATCTTAACTCATTTCCTGATAGTATATCTTGTCTAAACAAGGCAAACTGCACTACTTGATCCCAATGAACCTTTAGATCACTCCCACTTTTAGATATTAAAGCTAAACCACGTAGCTCTTCTATCCTTCCTCTTGATATTGCCTTCTCAACAGCATAAAACTTAGATTTAGGATGAGGGGAACAAGACAAAAAGAAAGGTAATGGTCCGCTTTTACGCCAAAATGTACGCCAGAGGCCATTTACTATAGTATGAAGAAAGTCTTCCAAAGCAAGATACTCATCTTCCTTCAAAGGTTTAGAAGCATATGGAGAACATGGCATACGGTACAGTTGCTGAAAGAGAACACCTTCCAATGCTAAATCAAACTTGCGCAGTTCATCAATCAGAAATGGGGGCCTAAAAAAAGACTGCTCCCTTGTAACATGCTCCACACAAGAATTTTCCAAAACCCAATCCTCAAGATTCTGTTTAAATAACTCCTGGTCAACAAGTTTCCTTCCACAGTCCTTCAGTGCCTTGTACACTCTTCTTGAAGTTGGAAAGAACTTGCTTGAAGATGAAATTCCAGACACACTATGGGTGGAGATAACTACATCATATTACAATCCAAATATTTTTCAGTTATGGAGTAAAAGTTGACAAATGCAGAAAATGTTTAATACATGAAAGTGGACAATTGCAGACATAATTATTCTAATGGCAATTGAACAATGGCAGGCCAAACAATTATAGAGAATAAAAGGGGATCAGAATAAGTTTGTAGTATTGTCATCTTTCTCTTTGTATTCATGTTCACATGCATGTGTGCTTCTGCATTTGTTTGTGTATATACAATGCTGTAAGCTCACATATTTGCCTCATTTCACCTTAACAAGAAAATTTGGTGTTTTCATTCTGAGTTGTGAGAAATATTCTTATCCAGCATTTGCAAAGTATTAGTACTTTGTTCTAACTTTCCTAAGTTCAGATCGTACATTCCAACTAGCTGTAAACCAAAAGAATTTGAGAGTTGCAGATTCGAATGAATTTTGAAGGGAAAGTGCAAGCAGAAAATGATCTCAATTTCCTTTATACATTCCTCCTATTTTCTAACATTTTAAGATTTTTTTCTACCGAGAATTTTTAAGGAATAGTCAGATACCATGTATATGCAGATTCATCCTCAGATTAACCAGTTTCACATTTTTGTAAGCCAGAATAATTAGCTTTTTAAAAGAAAGAAAAAAAATAATAACACATCTATGACATTGGTAACCAGAAATTTGTTATGCATAATGACAATCGAGCAAGATGAAGATGTACATAGCACACTTATTTTACAAGTCAAAGGAGAAGGGTTAACTGGCATTTTCTCAAGAGAAAGTCAAATAAAGGGAAGATGAGCCTGTAGAACAAACCAGAATTAGATTTTCGGAAACTTCCATCTATGCTTTGCCCTGGAGAGGAGTCCAAATTATTTCGCAGAAAACCTGACCCATATTGTTAGTTAGAGTCTGCATTACTCCCAGATTTTAAATTTTACACTGGTATATGTTTGGGCAGAATAAAGAGCGCATATGCTAAATATAAAGAAATATATGATTGCTGCCCAAAGAGATCTAACAAGGAATAGCCATCAATGTACAGCATGATATTTATTTTTGAAAAACAAGGAAAGCAACAAATTATATTAACTACATTAGGTGTGATACATGCCAGGATAGTGTAGATAAATGAGGCCAGATATTAAGATTTTCAACAATATCAAGTCAATTAGATCATGTGGATGTATTTCCAATACTAAACTATTCTACAGTGTAAAACATGATATGGTATGCAACTTTCTTTATAACCAGAATAATTGTATTAATAGTTTCAAAAAAAGAAGAAAAATAGCATTAATAAATAAATGTCCCCCGTCGAAGTCAAGTTTCTTTTCATTGGGGTAAATTTATAACTCGCACTGAACTTTAACAAAACAAGAATGCAGGAATTATGGATGACACTTACAACAGATTCTATACCATCTTATGATAATAATCAAGGAGCATTACATTGTACTTGCTCAAGTTCTCTTATTGCTTTATCATGTTTCTACTTTCCATGAGAAATTGTTCTAGTGGTTCTAGTATAATGTCCACAGTCCACAAACAGGGAATATGTGGAAACAATATAGGGAAAGACTTCATTTAAATTTATGATGACTCAGAAAAAATAGACATGGAAAATTTCTAATGTACTAGTTACTGCTGATTTGATGTTAGAATTACATTCTAACCAGATATAAACTTTCTGAAACTTCCATTTAAACTTTTCCCAGGGGATGAAGCCAAATCATTTTGTTGAGAGCCTGAGTCAATTATCAGGAAAAAGAAAATGAGTACCTCAGTCATGCTGATCATCATACTTAGACAAAATGTTCTGCTAAGAACTTCAGTCATGCACTCATAAGATAATGTTATGGCAATTTAGATGTCTAAGCATCAGTTTGACAAAGGTAAGCTTTTGGAGAAGTTTGATTGAGATGTCAAATTAGTTCTTGAGTGTTTGGAGTTGAGAGTACTTGTTCTACATCAGGTGCACACAGATCAGCTCCGGAAATTTATCAAAGTTTAAATAAAAATGCTACCATGCATGCAGCAGGAAAGGAGAAATAAACAAAGATGCTAATAGCATGTAATATACTACAGGTAGTGACAGACATTTGCATGTAGAGGAATAGAAAGGTAAACATGACAAAATGCAACCTGACTATATGTCTCAGTGCACTGCTCACGAAAGATTTCCAAATTAACATTGCATCCACATTATTTGGTGAATTGAATTTATTCAATCAGTAGCATGAATATCAGTTTATCATAAACTTCAAGACAAGAAATAAAGAAAAGAATACCTCAAGCCCTATTCTAAAATTTCAGTGGTCAACTGAAAGCAATGTAAATTACAGATGAGCAACCATCTGCCCAATATGAGAACTTGGTTAATTAACAAGATCTGGAAAATTTTTTAATCACCATATTCAATTGCAGTGACTTGCAACTATATACAGAAGGACATGCCCAATCACAAATTTCAGAAGACAAAAGTCAACAACAGCTAGAGCTTAACGGAGTATGGTACATTCAACATGAGCTGACTAAAGCTTGATCAGTTTCAAAAAGGATACTTAATCACTTTAATTAAAAAACGACGAGAATATTGAAAAACAAAAAGAGGCAAAAAAAGCATCAGATGTTTAAAAATCTATCACCTGAAATAACAAACCTTAATAATTTAAAATTCATTCATGTTTACTAAGACTCCATTGCTAGCAATTCAAGTAAAATATAATTGGGTGCTAATTACATCATCAATAATCTGGCCGGCAGAGCAAGCTAGATCATGATGCAAACCCACATTATGGGTAAGGTTACAAGTCAGAATAAAATCTTCTTGGTAATGCTTGAAACTGCAAAGTAAGGACTTAATTCAAAAGGACAATTGTAACATTAAGGCCAAAATTATACACATGCAAATGCACATATGACAAGATAATTACATTGTTGCCAAATAGGGGAGGCAAACTGAGAGAAACTAGTGATAAAAGAGAAAACTGAGAGAAAAGGACTGACAAAGAGATAAAAGCAAGAGAGAAAACTCAAAACTCAATATTGAAATCTAAAAATCTCAATTTTCCATCAAAAGTTGTTTGAAACTCAAAACCATAGGTTCTTATATTCCACATCCTAACTCTAAGGCAAATATGAATTACCAAATATACCCTTAAATATTTATTAATTCCTTAATATTAAAATCGTAATCGAACCTATAAACATGTAGAATTAAGAAAATAAATCTAAATAGTATAATCCTTCAATAAGCACGCTCCTACCTGACATCAATTTCTCCTTATTGGAGAAACTCAATCTCAAATTTTAAAATTTGGAAGAGAGGAAATAAGTAAAAACACTGTTGAACAACCATGTCAACAACAGATCTCCAAGCTTTATCAACACTTTACATAGAGTTTTGTTTTCTCCTACCGCATAACAACTAGAAAGAATGAAGTCAACAAATAACTAACTAGAACATTATTAGACTTTTCTTTTGGTCAGACACAGACAAATTTATATCCAAATCTATATGCCAAACTTGCCTATCTTTGATACTTTTTAGCTTGAAACCCTAGCCATTGCATATCCAATTCTTCAGACAGATTCATCAAGAAAAAAATATCCTTCTGACAGATAATGCCGCACTAGCTCATCATATACCACCTTTTGGTCCCTCTTCCACAGTTTTTTTCTTTGACCTCAATGATAAAGGATGTATTTTCATTGTTAATCACATCTGTATCAATTGGACCCTTGTTTGCAAGCACAAGGGAGGAACACCATAGAGACAATGAAGTTCAAAACAAATCCAAAATTGTCTGTATTTTTCTCAGTTTATCATAAAAATATTGTAATCCTCATTCTTCAAGTGCTTTCTACCGCATTAGTGTATACTTTTTAAATTAACATCACTTCTAAGAGACTGAAGGATGAAGATTTTTAGTACCATACTTGTTTTTCAAAGAAAGCAACTCATATAAGTGTATAATGGCTTGATAAGCCATCTTCTGAATTTGTTCTGAAGTGAAGATATACACTCCAAAACCACTATTTCCTAAACTGATAATGAATATTTGATGTTTAAAGGCTAAGTCTCACCACAAAAGAAAAAAGAGACAAAAGACCTAAAATGTGGAATCAAGACATCAAAACTACCAGGGAAGAGATTCTAACAAAATGATGGCATGACTGGCTACTAACATAGTGCATGACACCAGATGACATCGCCTGATCATTGGCAGCAGGAGCATGACCAAGCACATGATTGGACTGAACATGACCAACCTAAAGCACAGAGGTGCATGAGTCATCAGCTGCCATCAGCTGACGATGATTGGCTAGAAGATGAATGGAGATGACGAGTTCTCAAGTGCTTGTTTCCCAATCTGAAGATGAATAACGGAGATTTGATGTTTTTAAGTTTGATATTTTTCTTTCTTTCTTTCTTTGTTTTTTACCAGGTTAGCAATCAGCATCTAACGATTTGATTGGCAACAGTGTTTTCAGCTGAACCACTTGAAATTAGAAATCTGGAACGTTTTTATTTGACAGCTCATTTTCATTTTATAAATCCAGCTTTTTTTTCCCTTTCAGTTGGTAGCAAAAACAACCACTGTGACATCTGGTATCTTGGCAGTGAATGCTTTGCAGAGCACTGATACCAAATTGATGCAGAATGGGAGAGGGATGAAGAGGAAATTTTAGGGAAAAGGAGGAATAATTAAAAGAAATATTGGCAGAAAATAGAGGAAATTGGGGAAGATTATGATGGAACCAAGCGGGAAAAATCAAGACTTAATATTCGAATGTTGATCATCCATAATCAAAATGTTAGAAATGAAAAAAATATAAATTGTTATAAGCTACATACTAAACCCTAATGCAAACATGAAGTACCAAACATAACGGAATACATCTTAATAAAATTCCCTAATACTTAAAATTAAAATTGAATTTAAAAAACATTTAAAATTAATGAAAAAAATATCTCAATGGATTAATCCTTCAATAAGCATATATGGAATGAAGTTGGAAACAAGCATAGCAAGTGAAGAGGATTGGTGCAAGTCATCAATGTTACAATCCGTCATCTAGGAAAGCAACAGTCAGCTCACATATTTTCAAGCATGTTGATACCCGTTGAAGAACAAGCAGAGAATCAATAAACTCAGAATGGAATGCTACAAAATCTTGCAGGCAATATAGTTGCCAAAATGAAATTTTCATGCAACTAGTGCAGGATTCACTAATGAAAACGTTGCATCTTTTTGAATAATCTAAGGTTAAATCCACACAGGACATCACTTTGGCAGCTTTAAAACAATTTAGAACAATAGATTGGCCAAATTTTGAAAGTGAAAGAAACATTTCCATACGCTAGATATCTAATTCAAGCAATTCTTTCCAGCACAATAAATAACTTGACATTAATTAGCAGGAAATAGGAACAAACATCACTGCAAATAGTGAAAAACTTACACAAGAAACAGATGCTGTTATTGTACCTTCATCTATATAGAAGAAATTAAAGATCCTAAAACTCCTAGGGATCTATCAATCAGAGCATTGCAGAAGCTTATTAATTGCAACATAAGACCTATTTGAGTACCTAGGTTAACCAAAACAGCTACAGAATAGAACTAAGGCCTTGACAAATAAAATAAAGTAGTCAAATAATCTTCAACTCCAGCACTGGCATTGGGAAAAAGAATATACAACGGATTGCAGTAAGCATTAGCCAAGTGATTTCAAGTGGAGCACTGGTTTTTATGCCAATATATAGGATAATGAACTTGGCAGTCATGTCCATTGCATGTACAGGCTATTATTCAGCATCACTAAGAAGCAACCATTTTTTATCCCTTAAATGCCAAGCATGAAGCTTGAGTTAAAATGGGAAATTGAGAATGAAAAACAGACCATGATCATCAAACAATCATTCTCCAGTATATCGAAATATATATCATAACAACCATAACAGTTCAATAGCACAGTACACGTTGCAGTATACATTAAACAACAATGATTTTGATCTTTCTGCCTTCAGGAATAGAGGTGCTGTAGTCTGAAAAGCATATCTTTAGCAGAGTAGAAACACCCTGAACAGCTATCTAATGGAAAATTTAAGAAGACCAAGCAGGTGCTGCACATATTCTCAAGAAACCAGGATATTACATACAGAGAAAACAAATGGAAATAGCTAATAATATGGATCCTGTCACTATTAATGGCAAAAAAATCACTGCATATTTTAGGTAAGTAGTTCAATAGTTGTATGTGTAGAATACAGAATTGTTACAAATGTTTCATTTCACAGACACTCATTGAACTAATTTTTATATTTTGTTGTGGAATTTAAGTGTGTCCAGCTGCATAAAAGCATGGAAATAATCACTCTAATCTCATATCAACCTTAGAACAATCCGCCCAAGTTCATTATTAGAAAAGAATTGAAGCACACAAGAGTTGTTGGATGGAAATGCTGCTCCTTGGAAACTTTATAACCATTATTCACGAACAAACCATCACTTAAAAAGCAATTAACACATCACCAGATTCCATCAAACAAATCAAATTTACTGTAAAACTCTTGTAGACCAAATTAGGATGAAATTCAAAAGAATAAAAAAGCGTAAATAGAGAATCATTCGTAGAAAAATGTAAACGGGCACAGCTGATCCAAAAACAAAAACGTAAAAGACTTAATCCTATCATAGAAAAATCATATATAACCCACCAACAGAACACATTTCCACATTAAGGGAGAGAAATTTTCTGAAAAAGACTCACCAAATTTCATACTGAAATCGTGAGAAGACAATGCGTGAAATGGAGAAATGTGGGATGCAAGATCTTTGGAGAGTCTAAACCTGGCATTATTCAGTGCAAATGCTGCAATGTGGGGCAGTGATCATTGGAACCACTAAGCAAAGGGAAAAAAAAAACCATAATGTGGAGCAATAATGAGCAAAGAAAGAGATCTTGATGCATTCCTTCCACAATATAACATTTTTCAAGCTCTTAAAACCAAAAGAAAATTAAAAGAGGAAATGGGTATTTTCTACTCTGTAACAAGAAGAGGTGGAGAAGGAACAGAATGCTCTAGACAGTGAAAGAAAAGAAAACTTGTAAAAGGAATGGAATTGGAGCATGGGAGAAGAGTAAGATAACGCAACAAAGACAGGAAACACAGGAGGCTTCTAAAGGGGAAAAGCTGAAGGAAGCCACAGAGGACTACTGGTCCACGTTTGCCGTCCCCATTAACCAAATTGGCAGTTGGCCCCACTGACGATGATGTCTTCCTTTCTTGAATTCCTACGCTTCCCTCACGCATTCACCGTTCTCTCTCCTCTCTCCTGTCTCACTCCCCAACCCAATTGCACTTCCTTAATAAATAAAAGTACAACTTTTAAAATCTTGAAAATAAAAATATAAAAATTTTTCATGCATATTAATTAAAAAATATAATATTTTTTATTTTTTTAATAAGCAAGTGAAGTTTTTAAATTAGTGTCATTAGTCTTATTATATCATACTTTAAAAAATTAATAAATTCATATAATAATTAAATGAATATATAATAATATTTTAATTTATATATGAAATAATAATTCCAATAAGAATAAATTTAATGAAAACTATATTTACTTTTATCTCTTTGCAAAGTACTCTCTCAACCTTTCAAAAAATGTAATATTTATTAAGTTTAAGTATTTATCTTGAAACGAAAATGATATACCTTTTTTGTTTTGTAAAATATAACTTTAAAAGAGAATATTAGAGAAAAATAGTAAAAATATAAGGAGATCTTATATATTATTTCTTATTCCAATATATCTACCATAAATTACAATACCTTTATTTATAGGCACATATAAATAAAAGAGAAATGAATTTACATGAATAGAGGGGATTAACTTAGTAGATAAAAATATACATACATTGAATGAAACCAGGAGATAGGAATGTACCAACATAAATATATACATTAGATATGAAGAGATACATTGGATGTTATGAAGTATAATAGATATTTACATATATACATAACATTTGGTTATTTATTTCTTTTTATTTTCATTTCTTTGCTTTTTTCTTTTTTCTATGATTTTAACTAAACAATTGTGAGATTTAATT